CATTACTGCAGATTTTCTTAATTTCTTTTGAATATCTTCTATATGTTCACGCCATTTGAAATTATGATCTATAATTACGCCTAGGTATTTGAATGTATTAACTAATTCAATTTGAGATGAGCACTGATCGATATTATTGGGAGTTTGATTGTGTATACAGTACATATCATGAAATTTTATTTGTATTTTCTGGTATCTAATGTGACGTGGTTTAATGTGCATGATCTTGGTTTTATTTGCATTGATAATTAATCCGTTGTCATGACACCATCTTGTAGCAATATTTAGTTCATTTTGCATTATATTTGTTGCTTCAGTAATGTTTCTGTTTGCAACAATAATGGCAGTGTCATCTGCATAAGCAAATGTACAACTGTTTTTCAGTATGCTTATTAAATCATTTGCATATAGGAGATACAATATAGGACCTAATTTTGAGCCTTGTGGGACTCCATGGGCTATGTCTGTTTCGCAACTCACGTTGTCACCAATTTTTACTCTGAATTTTCTTTGATTTAGATATGCTTCGAAGAGATTCAAGCAGCTACCTCTTATTCCGTACCTTTCTAATGTACGTAAAATCTTTTTGTGGTCTAAGGTGTCGAATGCTTTACTAAAATCCACAAATAGTACTAAGCAATGCTGGTTTTCACTTAGACATGTATTAATATGATTTGAGAAATCACCTAGCAGTTTATTAATACTTTTGTTTTTTTGAAATCCATATTGGTTGTTGTTAATTATTTTGAATCGATCTATAAAATCCGTTAATCTTCTAACCATTACTTCCTCCATAATTTTTTCTGTAACTGGAAGAATTGATATGGGCCTGTAGTTATTGTAATCGTTTTTTATACCGTTTTTATATATTGGCCGTACTATAGATGTTTTGAATATCTCAGGAACGTTAGATTGAATTAAAATCATGTTTATTATTTTGGTAATAATAGGAGTTAGGGCAACCGAATTGTTTTTAATATCGCGTGGTCTTATATCATCTATACCTGGACTTTTGTTCCCCTTAAGTGATCTTAATATATTATAAATTTCTAGTTCATTAGTATATTCGATATATATTGAATTTGTAATAGTTTTTTCTTCATAAATCAATGTTTTTTTATTGCAAGTATGGATAATGTTTTGGACGTTTTGTTTTAAATTTATTGCGAAGTTGTTTAAGATATCTTCAATGTTTTCGTTATTGAAATTACGCATAATTGTTTCATCCAGATTTATTATTTTTTTGCCATTTAATTCATTTATTAATTGCCACGTTATTCTCATATTATTTCTATTTTCCATAAATTTTTTTCTATAATAATTATTTTTAGTATGATAAATTTTTTTGTTCAGATAATTTCTATATTTTTTATATTCTTGTTCATATGTTTTATTATTTCTATTGTTCAACCATTTTCTGTAAAGTTTATCCCGCGTTTCGCAACATAATATTATTTCATGATTTATCCACATATTTGTTTTTCTTATTTTTTCACTTTTTGCTACTATTGTAGATTTCGCATATATATCACTGAGTTTATTATTAAATATATTAAACAAGTCATTTACATTATCAATGTTGCTTATTAAATTACACCAATTTGTTTCATTAATTAATCTATCTACTTTTTTATTATTTAATAATGTTCTTTTACTTAAAAAGTTTGGGTCTCCCTGGGGAGCCGCAAAACAGGTAGGCGATCTCTGATTGTTTGTATTATTGTTTTCCTCTTTGTTATCTTTTACACAACACAGAATACTGTAATGATCAGCAATTGTTGTAGTAATTACAGCAGTATAACCAGTTGACTTGTTTTTATTGTCTCTGAGAAAGCAATGATCAATGCATGTACGTGTGTTTGTTAGTGCATCATCTCTCGTACTCACATTTATTACACTCTCTAGTCCATTAGACATCATCATATCAACATATTTTTTTGTTGTTACATTGTTATTTAAAATGTTGATATTTATGTCTCCTACGATTACAATTTCTTGTCTTTTCTTTACACTGTTTATAATATCGTCGAGCTCAGAAATAAATGTATTTACATTGGATGATGGTGGACGGTAAATAGAGAGAAGTGTGAGGGGTGTATTGTTTACAATTATTTCAATGTTTAGCAATTCAAAAGAGTTTACATTTGTGTTGTTGGTAGTAAACGTTAAATTATCTTTGATATAAACAGCTATACCTCCGCCTTTACAATCTCTATTTACGAAAAGAGAGTTGAAGCCTTTTATATTATAAAAATTTGTTTCAATATCGTTAATATTTGTTTCGACAAGAACAATAATTTGTAGTTCATTTAATATGTTATGCATTGTAGCGATGAACGAATTGAAATTTTTGCGAATTGATCTTATGTTCATATGTAGGATTTTTAAGGGATAACTTAAATATTTTTTATCAATTTGGTTTATATGATTGAGTTTTTCTTGTATAAAGTTCATTTTATTGTTTTTATATTTTTTTGCATGGGAGAAAGTTTAACGACTTTACCAGGTCTAGGCCAATATGAGTATGATTAAAAGTTTAAGAACATTAACAGGTTTCAATATCATCGGTGTTTTTAATAAGAATTGCTGGTGTATTTTCCGATTTTCTAACATATATTGATCCACTTTTTTACCACACGTATTTCCAGTTGCTTTCTTTAGCTTTAGTTTTTGCAAGCCAAAGCAATTTTCGGTTTAGGGCAGTAAGGCAGTCGTTGATATAGATATAACTATTGTTATCATTAATGTTTATAATTTTGCCATCAATTCTATGGCGTTTAATTTTTCCCATAAACTCCCTCTTTTTGATGTGGGTTGTGAATTCAACAATTATTTTATCTTGAATATGTTTCAGACGATAAGCATCGCTGATATCATATTCGTTGATGTTCACATTTATTGATTCAGCTATTGTTTTAACTACATCGTACTCATTAATTTTTTTATCATGTATATTTTTTATTTCAATTTTTTTACTAATAATTTGTTGTTCTAATTGGTTGATTTTAATATCCCTTTGTTTCATCTCATTTTTGTTTTCCTTGATTTCTTCTCTCATCTCTCCCATTTGAGTTACAAGATTAGAAAGAGTTAAAGTGATCTGCGACAAGGCAGCTTTTATCTCTTCTTTATAAGAGACATCTGATTGGGAGACATTAATCGCTAATTGTTCAACCGATGTTTTGAGCTCTTTAATATTGTTTTTAACATCGTTGATTTCTGACTTGACTTCGTTAACCTCTACTTTAACCTCAGCTTTAATTGTGCAGATGCTAGATTGCAATTCGTTTAATGAGATGGAGTCTTTAAACCTTTTTGTATGCTCATTATTATTGTCATCATTTTCTCTTTGTTGTTTTTGCTGAGATTTGTCCTGGTACAATACTACTTCATATGAATTATTGATTGTAGATTTGTTTCGGGGCTTGCATATATGACATCTCCAGCTCATTTTACGCTCTCCGTTCATACTAGAGTATGTGGTTTCGGAGAGGGGACAGCAGGGGTTGAAGTGAAAGTTGTTATTGCAATTGTAACATTTTACATAGTTACTCGGCAGTGGCTCAGAGCACTGTTTGCAAGTGTATATCATTATTGGCAAAGAGACCATTATTCGCGTTCTTTAGTGTATTTTTCTTTTAAGAGAGTACTTTTTATTTGTAATAAAATGATTTAGGTTTTGTTAAAAGAATATAATATTTCACTAATAGCACGATAATAATTTATTAAAAATTATATTCACTATATAATGCAAAATAAACTATATGCACTTGTTTTTATTAAAATTGATTTTATGGCAGGTTTTCACTCGAATTAAACAGCTGTTTTGAGAGCACGTAATAAACACGTCCGTATAAGTCCGCAACTGAACTAGAACTGAACTAGAACTGAACTAAAACTGAACTAGAACTGAACTAGAACTAGAACTGAACTAGAACTGAACTAGAACTGAACAAAACTGAACTAGAACTGAACTAGAACTGAACTTGAACTAGAACTGAAATAGAACTGAACTAGAACTGAACTAGAACTGAACTAGAACTGAACTAGAACTGAACTAGAACTGAACTAGAACTGAACTAGAACTGAACTAGAACTGAACTAGAACTGAACTAGAACTGAACTAGAACTGAACTAGAACTGAACTAGAACTGAACTAGAACTGAACTAGAACTGAACTAGAACTGAACTAGAACTGAACTAGAACTGAACTAGAACTGAACTAAACTGAACTAGAACTGAACTAGAACTGAACTAGAACTGAACTAGAACTGAACTAGAACTGAACTAGAACTGAACTAGAACTGAACTAGAACTGAACTAGAACTGAACTAGAACTGAACTAGAACTAGAACTGAACTAGAACTGAACTAGAACTGAACTAGAACAGAACTAGAACTGAACTAGAACTGAACTAGAACTGAACAAGAACTGAACTAGAACTGAACTAGAACTAAACTAGAACTAAACTAGAACTAAACTAGAACTAAACTAAAACTAAACTAGAACTAAACTTGAACTAAACTAGAACAGAACTAAAATTGAATTAGAACTGAATTAGAACTGAACTAGAACTGAACTGGAATTGAACTAGTTTTATTTTAGATATTTTTTGAATGACGATAGTCCTATAATAAAACCATTCACTGTTTCACAACTCCACAAACTGATTGTAAACGCTAATTTATTTGTAAATTGTTTTCTTAAGGGAGACTAAAAAAACAACAAAAAAATTTTTGCAACACACAATAAATTAAATAAGTCATAATAAGTGTTAATTATTAATTTATTGTTCATGACTTTTAATTTACATGCATTAAATTTGTATACATATGCACATGTATGCATGTATATAAGAATATTTATACATATAATTTTTTGTAAATAGCACGTGATTAACCCATTCTAAAACGGAAGTCATTAAAAAATATCAACAAAAAACTTCGCAAAATGTTTACAAACACATGACTTATTTTTATTGTATAATTAATTTAACTCACCTTTATATCCTTTATATAATGTTAAGCCAATGCAAAAACAGTTCCGTTGACTTGTTGTGTGGTTTTGAATGGGTTAAAGTCGCACAAATCTGAAAAATATAAAATACAAATAAATACAATTTGTCATTTATTGTGTTTTTGGTATTATTTTTTTTTTAACATTATTATTTATTATTTATAATTATTAATTGTTGTTGTCGTGAGTCGATCATATGAATTTTTTGAAAAAATTATTTACTTTTGAGAAAAAAAATTATATATTAAACAAAGCAACAAACTAGTTTACCAAACAACATGCTCGACTAATCAATATTTACTTAACTAGCATGTGGCCGATCGTATAAATTAAATTCGCTAATTTCATTTTCATAATAAGTGTGTCTTTTGATGAGACATGTTAAAAAAACAGAGACATTGCTAATACAAATCGTACAATGTGATAAATGTTTTAAATTTTAATAAACAATTTTCGGTTACGACGAATTTTAAATACCACTCATTTGATTCACTTTGATTCAAAACTATTCTACTAATACGTCCAATATTTAAATGTGTTACAAATGAGATGATCAAACTAATATATCCCCCATCATATTTGAAATTGTGCAAAAAAGGGTAACAGTACATCTTATGACAAGTTCAAGTAAATAAATTCTGTATGTTTAATTTATTATTAAATCTAAATGGAATAAGTTGTCATTTATTATTATAACAAAATACTTTGTTTGCTTTCTTAAGCGAATTTTGATCAACAAGATTTGTATTACCAAACAATTTGAACATTTATTTGAAATGTTTATAGAGACATATTCAATAACAACTTAATCGAAGATTATTTGTATTTAAAATTTTGATTATATAAGTAAATTTTAAAATAAATCACAAAAGAATCAAGATATCATCAGAGTCAATTAATGATTCCAAAAGTGAATGAAAGGGTTTCTTTATAATGGGTTCTACTTGCAAAATATCCAGAATACTTGGCCCTGTCATGACGAAAAATGACCCTTATTCTCTGGAACTAGAACTGAACTAGAACTGAACTAGAACTGAACTAGAACTGAACTAGAACTGAACTAGAACTGAACTAGAACTGAACTAGAACTAGAACTGAACTAGAACTGAACTAGAACTGAACTAGAACTGAACTAGAACTGAACTAGAACTGAACTAGAACTGAACTAGAACTGAACTAGAACTGAACTAGAACTGAACTAGAACTGAAGTAGAACTGAACTAGAACTGAATTAGAACTGAACTAGAACTGAACTAGAACTGAATTAGGACTCAACTAGAAATGAACTAGAACTGGACTAGAACTGAACTAGAATTGAACTAGAACTAAACTAGAACTGAACTAGAACTGAACTAGAACTGAACTAGAACTGAACTAGAACTGAACTAGAACTGAACTAGAACTGAACTAGAACTGAACTAGAACTGAACTAGAACTGAACTAGAACTGAACTAGAACTGAACTAGAACTGAACTAGAACTGAACTAGAACTGAACTAGAACTGAACTAGAACTGAACTAGAACTGAACTAGAATTGAACTAGAACTGAACTAGAACTGAACTAGAACTGAACTAGAACTGAACTAGAACTGAACTAGAACTGAACTAGAACTGAACTAGAACTGAACTAGAACTGAACTAGAACTGAACTAGAACTGAACTAGAACTGAACTAGAACTGAACTAGAACTGAACTAGAACTGAACTAGAACTGAACTAGAACTGAACTAGAACTGAACTAGAACTGAACTAGAACTGAACTAGAACTGAACTAGAACTGAACTAGAACTGAACTAGAACTGAACTAGAACTGAACTAGAACTGAACTAGAACTGAACTAGAACTGAACTAGAACTGAACTAGAACTGAACTAGAACTGAACTAGAACTGAACTAGAACTGAACTAGAACTGAACTAGAACTGAACTAGAACTGAACTAGAACTGAACTAGAACTGAACTAGAACTGAACTAGAACTGAACTAGAACTGAACTAGAACTTAACTAGAACTGAACTAGAACTGAACTAGAACTGAACTAGAACTGAACTAGAACTGAACTAAAACTGAACTAGAACTGAACTAGAACTGAACTAGAACTGAACTAGAACTGAACTAGAACTGAACTAGAACTGAACTAGAACTGAACTAGAATGAACTAGAACTGAACTAGAACTGAACTAGAACTGAACTAGAACTGAACTAGAACTGAACTAGAACTGAACTAGAACTGAACTAGAACTGAACTAGAACTGAACTAGAACTGAACTAGAACTGAACTAGAACTGAACTAGAACTGAACTAGAACTGAAATAGAACTGAACTAGAACTGAACTAGAACTGAACTAGAACTGAACTAGAACTGAACTAGAACTGAACTAGAACTGAACTAATGAACTAGAACTGAACTAGAACTGAACTAGAACTGAACTAGAACTGATCTAGAACTGAACTAGAACTGAACTAGAACTGAACTAGAACTGAACTAGAACTGAACTAGAACTGAACTAGAACTGAACTAGAACTGAACTAGAACTAGAACTGAACTAGAACTGAACTAGAACTGAACTAGAACTGAACTAGAACTGAACTAGAACTGAACTAGAACTGAACTAGAACTGAACTAGAACTGAACTAGAACTGAACTAGAACTGAACTAGAACTGAACTAGAACTGAACTAGAACTGAACTAGAACTGAACTAGAACTGAACTAGAACTGAACTAGAACTGAACTAGAACTGAACTAGAACCTGAACTAGAACTGAACTAGAACTGAACTAGAACTGAACTAGAACTGAACTAGAACTGAACTAGAACTGAACTAGAACTGAACTAGAACTGAACTAGAACTGAACTAGAATGAACTAGAACTGAACTAGAACTGAATTAGAACTGAACTAGAACTGAACTAGAACTGAACTAGAGCTGAACTAGAACTGAAACTAAACTGAACTAGAACTGAACTAGAATCTGAACTAGAACTGGAACTAGAACTGACTAGAACTGAACTAGAACTGAACTAGAACTGAACTAGACTGAACTAGAACTGAACTAGAACTGAACTAGAACTGAACTAGAACTGAACTAGAACTGAACTAGAACTGAACTAGAACTGAACTAGAACTGAACTAGAACTGAACTAGAACTGAACTAGAACTGAACTAGAACTGAACTAGAACTGAACTAGAACTGAACTAGAACTGAACTAGAACTGAACTAGAACTGAACTAGAACTGAACTAGAACTGAACTAGAACTGAACTAGAACTGAACTAGAACTGAACTAGAACTGAAGTAGAACTGAACTAGAACTGAACTAGAACTGAATTAGAACTGAACTAGAACTGAACTAGAACTGAACTAGAACTGAACTAGAACTGAACTAGAGCTGAACTAGAACTAAACTAGAACTGAACTAGAACTGAACTAAATCTGAACTAAAACGGAACTAGAACTGAACTAGAACTGAACTAGAACTGAAGTAAAACAATCTAAAGTTATTACAGAAGTTGTTTAGACAATGAAGAAAAATCGGTACAACATCTTTAAGAGAGTAGACTCTGATATATTGGTACAAGGATGTGTTATTATAAGATCTAATCAAATTTGTTAGAAGTCTCGTCACTGCATTGTGTGACTTGTAAGGATGTAGAAGTGTAAGAGTTTAATGAAAGAAGTAGTTCCTTGCTGTCGAATATTGAGCTATAATGCCCCACAGTTTTTGATTTTTGCAAATATTTCTACATATAAAACACTGCAGTTATTCGGAAGACGTCTGGTGTTTTATTCGTTCAATTAGTCCCTCCTCTTATACCACTCATTCCTAGAAGTTATTTTGATTCTGAACACTCCATCTAGGTCCTTGTGTGGCATAGTATAGTAGTTTCTTAGTCAAGGACAGTAGGCTTAAGAGTCTATACGTTTTTGATCTCAAACATTCGCTTAAGCTAAGAGGCCCAAGTTCATAATCAGTGTGTGTAATTTTTGTGCCTAAAACAAAAACACAATTTGAAGTACTTATTTAAGTGGTTATTTGTAAGCGAGTGTAATAAGTACTTGCCTCCAATGTCATCACCGTGTTAAAATAATGAGTTAAAATATGATATGATGTGAGTCTTTACTTTTTACTTTGGGTATAAATGTAATAAATTCTTAAACTTTATGTTAGTTTCTTTATAATAAAAACTTATACTTGTTCCCTTGAAACAAAAGACAGAATTATAATCCTAGTAACTTAATTCCAGAATAAATTGTTTCTTATTTAAATACTATTAAGCTAAAAAAAGGTTAAAGGTTTATACAATATATATAAACAATTTAAATAAAACTTTATCTTTAACTACTCAATCTATTTCTATAATATGCTGGACCATTTCGTACGCCTTTAAGATATGTAAGTACTTAGAAAATGTCTTACAAAAAACCATTAGAAAAAATGTATGCAAACTAGTGCAGTTTGTAGGAGGAAGTGAATTTAGATGAGTAGATGAATATTATGCCTTGTACTTTCAAATAATAAGTGTTGAAAGAAGAGCTTAAAGTGCAAATTTTGATAAAATATATATTCAGGTTTCTGACAGTAGCAATTGACTTATTACTTGCAAGTTGGCCCAAGCAGTTGTAACGACAGAATTCCGATGCAATGACAGAGATAAAGAGAAAACGGTATTCTACCTTTTCAGGAAATTATCTGCCCTGCCCTAGCTGTCAAAAGGAACAGATTCCTTGGGAAATATATAATATTCAAACTTAATGAATTATCTATAGATAATAAGGTTCAGACTCAATGAAATATGGAGAAACCTAACTGTCATGGAATCTTTACGACTTTACTTGAGATTTAAAACCTGTTAAACTATCCCTTTAACCAATTAAAGCAAATCCCACTAAGTGTTAGTAGAATTAGTAAATTTAACCCAATTTGATTTATTTTACAAACCCATAATAAAGATATCAAGTAGATTACATACAGACCTCATTAGACCTTTAACTAGTTTATAACATTAAGGTCATAACAAATGTTAAATTAATTTTATTGCTATAAATATTGCAATTAGATCTAATAAATTTGTCACTT